TGTTGTAAATAGACCATTTGATGTGTAAAATGGCTGTGATATTGAGAATATTGTAAATGATGCATTGATTAATGAATATGCATGATGGAAGGGTCTAGAGCCTACATTAGTACTAGTGTAAGATGTATACTAAGTATTAAGGTGTTAGGAGTAAGTTACATCACCCATTTAGTGCATTAAAAGCTGTCAAAATATAATTCTGTAGTTAAGGAATCGATTCCCAACATCACAGTGGCTTAATTCTGCGTCCTTTGTTTCAAGGAAAAAGAAAAACAGGCAAGATGTACAAGGAAGACAAAGATATGCACACACTTGCTCGAAACCCCGGATGAAAGCCCATGAGTTGGGATGAAGCTGTGAAGGCGCAATCCGAAGTCTACGGATCACAGTCATCTGAAACTCGGTAAAGGGGAACCAAATCCCTAACTTGGTAATCAGATCCCGATAAAGATAAAAGAAATGGGGCTCGTCCATATTAGGACCCGCGCACACCGGATGATCACCTGATGGAAGCATATAAACCCCACTGGGGTCTCCAACAGGAAGTTGGGCTACGTCGGCAGGAGACATCGTAGATCGCATGTGGAGAATCTCGAGAAGAACCCAATTTTAGACGTCGGACTCTTCCATAGCTATGGCCCTGGAACATGAAGGATGAGGATCAGTATAAACATGGACTCCATGAAAAAGGAATGGAGCTATCAGAACTACTAACTAGATCAACAAATGGCATCCAACTTGAAGCCGAATCACCAAAACAAGAAGGGGATTTCGACTCCGGAAAACCCAACTCAGATGAAGAAAGGCTGGAAGAGTTATCATCCAACCCAAGGGGAGGAATCCGACCTAATACGGACCTCGGATCGGGATCACCTGAGACGACGACAAGATGTAGGGTAAAGAAGCCGGATCAGGAGAAGAATTCAACCCAAGAGTTGAAGGGGGAGAAACCAAAGGAGGGCCACCTGTGCCAAAATTAAGCTGAGTCTGATGACCCCCTCCTCTCCGACCTCTCATACTACGTCCACCTCAGGAACTTTGGCGACCTCCTCGAGGACCTCAGAGAAGTTGTTGAAGCTTCTCCTCCTTGGTATATTCCTTTCCATAAAGCCAGTACTGAACTGCCCGAGGCAACTGCTTCACTATTTCCTCACTCTCCTCACCACCTCGGCCAAAAGCCGGACCAGCAGAGGAACCAGGGGTACTCATCAGAAACCCCAAGGTTAGAAATCTCTCAAAGAAGGAGGGAATACAAGGTCAATAAAAGCAGAATGCAACACTTTGAAAACTTACTGACCACACAGTCAAACAAACAACAAATGCAAAGAAAGAGACGAGAAAAAGAAGTACCTGGATAATAAAGGAGAAAGGAACGAGCAAGCAACTGAGAACTCCACAAGAACCTTCACAAACGGTGACAGCCAGGAAGTTGAAAAACTCCAAGGTAACTCGAAGAGAAGAAGACCAGAAATGAAAGGGAAAGACACATAAGCGGTAAAAAATTATATGCTGTGAAAATGAGAATTTAAAGAGAGAATTCCATCTGAGGCGCGAAGCTAAAAGGTTTTCCAAACGGTTGAGAAATGGAGGACAGAAAAGGAATTTCACCTTGAGTGCATTAAATGCACTCAATCATGGCCTGTGTGGAGTTCAATACGGCGCGCCCTGCACGATGCACGAACTGCTAACAAACGCAGAACACGTGGATCGTTGTAACCGTCGAAACACGCGAAAGAGGAGAGGTCATTCTGACGACATCAAGGTTAGAACACGACCCTAGCCCCAAAAGCATGATTAAGGACATCAACTCAGCCAAACACGACGAAGTTGAAAATCAGACCAAACAGGGCCTAAGGGCCGAGATCGGACTCATGACGGAGCCGACGTGTTAAATATCGGCTTCAACGTACAATTCCAAGGAAGATCAAGGAACATTACACGAACGACCTCGATAAAAATGGCTCAGAATAACGCCACAGACGTCGAACTTGCTCTAAAAAAAACTCAATTCTGAGACTAATGAACTCGGACGAAACGGATCTGTGGTGATGTAACAACACCTCGGCCTTCTGAGCCTCAGAATACCGAGCTGGAGGGCAACTGTTATGGATATGAATATCATATCCCAACCAGTCACCTAAGAATCTATTAAGAGATAGATTCATGAGTATCTCAACAACATTAAGCAGTCAAAATACACAAGATAAGGGTCACACCCCAACAGAAAGGGGGCTAAACCCTAATGCAATCTGGGAAGCTCAAAAGGCCCAAGCCTAGGAAGGTGATCCTTATAAATAAGAGCCTAAGGACCCCAAGTACACACTTTGAACCTATTTACGAATACTGCCCACACTGTGCACACACCCACCCTTTTGCTCTAAGTCTATTGCTTGTACGCAGTGATTGGGACATCGGCTATAAGCCTAGTATATATCTGAATATATAGTATCTCTGAACGCATACCTTTCGGTATAGTAATACGGTCTATCCATGACCGAACATATATATATATATTAAAAGAGAGAAACACATAAAATTTACTAATGACTGAACTTAATGATGCAGAAGTGCATCGTTGTAGAATGGCCACAAGATCTTGATGTAACCCAAGCAAATAAATTTTCTGAAGTTCATCACCACTATCTTTCCACAACGTTTCATAGATAGCCCATGATGGAGTTAGGGAGGGGTTAGAAGATTCAATTTCATCAAATCTTTATTTTAAACTATATTTAGACTTAAACAAAATCTAATACATAACATAAGTTCGTCCCTCAAATAGTGTGAATTTTACTTTCTTTATTTTCATTCACAAAATTTTCAGGTTCTGCTATTGTATGGTAGCCCAAAATGCTGCCAGAAATAGCAAGTGCATTGCTTTATCCTTTTATCATGTTCTTCAATAAAAAGCCCCCCTTGGATCGTGATTTCAACGCAAGCAAGGCAGCAAATTCTACCTAGCATTTCCTTTTTCATCTTCGTAGACATCACAGAACTTTCCAATTCGCTTAGGATTAAAAAAAGAAAAGAAAAACGTAAACAGCAAGATGGCCACTTCTGACAAAAACCTGCTGCTAAATTATGTTCCAGTATATATCATGCTCCCAGTAAGTCATGCACATAAACATAAACTAGTCTGTTTCTAAGCTACCAGTTTATGTATTTGTATATACATATATACGCTAATTAACCTGTGTTATATATATATTTTTTCTATCTACTTTAGCTGGGAGTTATTACTGTTGATAATGTCTTTGAAGACCCAAATGGCCTTAAAGAACAACTGATGCAGCTACCAGCAGCAGGTGTTGATGGGGTTATGGTTGATGTCTGGTGGGGGATCATAGAACAAAAGGGTCCTAAGAAGTATGATTGGAGTGCCTATAGGAGCTTGTTTGAACTGGTTCAGGAATGTGGCTTGAAACTACAGGCTATCATGTCATTCCATCAATGTGGAGGGAATGTAGGAGATGTTGTTAACCTATGAAGCACTAACACTTCAAAAACCCTGACGTGTTGTGTCCGACACTCCGACACTCCGACACTCCGACACTTCCCGACACTCCAACACTCGTTGCAAAGACTCAAAAAAGGTTCAAAGGTTACGTTGTGTTGCATTTTGAGTTCCAACTATTAGATTCGTTAGATTACGATTATCATTTTATTGAATTTAATATAAACATTTGGGATATCTTATGTTTCTTTGCAAAATTGATGGGTATTATAAGTATAGCTTTATTTTTTTGTTAAATTATTGAATACTAAATATAATATACACTACATAAATTAAAAATATTATATAATATCAAAATGTGTCCTAACGTGTCGAAATTTAACATTTTTTAGAATTAACGTGTCGGTGTATCGTGTCATGTCGTATCTCGTGTCCCGTGTCGGTGTTGGTACAACATAGGTTGTTAACATCCCAATTCCCCAATGGGTACTTGACATTGTAGAATCAAATCCTGATATCTTCTCCACCAACCTCTCTGGTACCAGGAACAAGGAATATCTAACTAATGGGGGTAGACAATGTGCCTATCTTCCATGGAAGAGCAGCTGTTCTGGCGATGCAGCTCTGTGTACACAGCTATAGGGATAATGATCTTGGTTACTACAACAACATGTTTTGACTTGTTGCATTACACAGGTATACAGTGACTACATGAAGAGTTTCAGAGAAAACATGTCAAATTTTGATATATTTCAAAAAATTTGCGATCAGGTGAGCACCTGTCATATGCATGTACTCAAAAGATAATATACATTTTTGAACTGTTTTCACTCCAATAACCCTCTACCCTCAAATTATTGCAGGAATACTGAGCAGACCCTAAAAAGTACAACCATAGCATCGTTGAAGGGATCAAAACCAAAGATTCCCATTGAGGTCCTTCTTGAAGCAACTAAACCAATACCACCATTCCCCTGGGACTCATAGACAGACATGGAAGTTGATGATTGAGTACTATTTTATCGTACTTCCATCAACTCTGATTATCACAACAGGAACATCTTCCATCTCTAAAACGGTGAAACCTAGCAAATTTTGAGAATCATTTTACAGCATAGTATAATCTTGCACCCAATTGAATGTTTAATGTAAAACGCTTATTCAACCTAAAAGCTTAAAAGATTAGGTGAAGCTTGTCAAATAATATGACTTCATTTTTAAACTCTTATAAACCTTTGGCCATGATGAACTTTGGGTTTTGTAAAGTGTGGGATTTTATTTTATTTTGAATTTGTAATTTTTAGTTTTAAGTTTTTTGTTTAAATGTATTGGACAAATCTAAGTATTCAGATGCATGTAATGATGATGCCACAATGAAGCAATTCCAAAACATCTTATGATATCTGCTCACGTTGGATAAAAAATTTGCATTTTTCTATATTTGGATATAAAGCACTTTTTTTTTTTTATCAAACTTCCATCCAACAAAAAATCTATATTTTCCTTACTTTGACTTAATGTACTACTTCATCAAACTTACATCGACTCACCAGTATCCACCACATGAGCATATGCCATCACGAAAATGGTGAAACCTACAGATATCTCGCATGATAATCTCTCGACTCATGAGCTTAGAAACCATTTTTATCACAGTGTGGCAATCTCCACATACACGAAGATTCTTGGTTATTCTGATTGTGGTCCCTGGACCAGTGTTAATAAGAGCAAAAGCAAGTGCCAACCTCTCGCTATGATCCCAGAGCATATTCTCCTTCACTTCCTCCTCAACATCATAGAGAACTGAACTAGTGTCAGGCTTGTAACCAGCTTTCTTGAGTTGCTCATTCAAGTCTTTCAATTTGGCATAAATATTTTGTGCCTGTTGGTGGGACTTATCTCCAACAAAAAATTGATGTACCATCTTATTTAGCTCAACAAAACTGTAACTAGGTGGTTTCCTCAATCTTCTTTTCTTCACCAATGCCCTTACCTTTTCAACATCCTTCCATCTTCTCTCTGCAGCATATATGTTAGAAAGGCAAACATAACCACTCACTCCATTTGGACTCATTTCAAAAAGCTTCTGAGCTGAGATCTCTGCTAACTTGACATTCCTATGCAATCTGCAAGCAGAAAGTAGAGAAGTCCATACATCCTCATTTGGTTTCAACTTCATGTTGTCTATAATTGCATATGCTTCATCTAAGTTCCCTGCTCTGCCAAGTAAATCAACTAAACACGAATAATGAGTGGGTCCAGGTTCCAAATTGTAGTCTCTGCTCATTTTATAGAAAATTTCTTTACCCTCGTCCACCAATCCAGAATGACTACAAGCTGATAAAACTGAAGTGAAAATACCCTCATCTGGCATAATATTTTTACCTAACATTTCATAAAAAATGGAGATAGCCTCTCTTCCCCTCCCATGAATTCCAAATCCTGTAATCATAACAGTCCAAGAAGCCAAATTTTTTTCGGGCATCTCATCAAAAGCGCGACGTGCACAAAAATAACTTCCACAGTTAGCATACATGCTAATAAGGGCAGTTCCCACAGCAGTATTCACTCCATAACCCCTTTTAACAAGGTATGTGTGAACAGATGAGCCCAATAGCAAAGCTGAGATTTGATTACAAGCCCCCAGCACAGCAATAACAGTTACTTCATTAGGAATTCCACCTCCTATAAACATTTGACTGAAAAGTTCCATAACTTTAAAAGCATCCCCGTGCTTTTCATAGCCAGAAATCAAAGAATTCCATGATACAGTATCCCTCACTTTTAACTCTTCAAATAATTTCCTTGCAACAGATATGGAACCACAATTGCAGTACATGACAATTAGGGAATTCGTCAGAAACTCATTACATAGTTTACCACTATTCCGAACAACATAACCATGTACTGCTTTCCCCAGTTTTAAATCCATAATATCACCACAAGCACAGAGGAGGGCAAGCAAGGTGGTCCCATCTCCAACAACACCAACTCTTCTCATGCTATCAAAAACTTCAAAAGCATCAACTGCCTCACCATTCTTCACATGCCCCGATATTACAGTGTTCCAAGAAGTTAAATCCCTTACAGGCATTTTATCAAACAGCATCCTGGCAGTTTCCATATCACCAAACTTAGAATACATTGAAAGGAGAGAATTGCCCACATAAATATCTGACTCCCACCCATCAACCAACACCAAAGCATGAACCTTCCTACCCAATTCATGAACCAAAAGGTCACCACACGCCTTGAGAACAAAAGGGTAGGTGAAATGATCAGGCTTTTGTCCAAAACTCAACATTTCACGGTACAAAACAAGGGAATTCGAGGGAGACCCATTACAAGCATAACCCCTTATCATAGAATTCCATAAAAACGAGTTCTTTAACAAGATTTGATCGAATAAGAATCGGGCTTGAGGCATGCGACCGCAGCCAGCGTAGCAGGCGGCGAGCTTGGTGGCGAGGTAGGTGTTGTGGAGGAGAGTGCCGCATGTGATGACGTGGGCATGAAGTTGTTGGGCTTGTGTGATGAATTTGGAATTGGTGAGTGACTGCAGCAAGATTCCACATTGTAGAGAATGGAGTGGGATTGGAAGTGTAAGGGTAAGACCTTGTTGTGCCAAGTGGGGGATGGTGGTGTAAGGAGCTTTGAAAACAAGGGTTGTTGTTGTTGTCTTGAGTTTTAGAGTGAAAGTGAAGGTCAGCTTCATGAATCATGAGGGGGGAGGAGAAGTGCAACGCAAACCAGAGTGGAACAAGCACCAGAACAACAGAACCTGCGTGCGACGAAGACAACGGGGGAAGAATGAAAAAGAACACAACACAAAAGCATGGGACAAGGGTGAGAATTGAAAAAAAAAAAAAAAAAAATTACAAATCGTAAAATAAAAGTTTGGAGATGCGGGGTATCGATCCCCGTACCTCTCGCATGCTAAGCGAGCGCTCTACCATCTGAGCTACATCCCCAGACAATTTCGTACATATCACTATTACAATTTATACATAAACTAAAATATATTTATATTAATAATCCACTCATTCATAAAAACTTTTATCAACTTAACAAATCGACGCTGTGTGAATAAATTAAAGGTTATACTTATATTATTTTATATGAGAGAAACAAATCTTTTACACATACAAAAGAATGGTGGGTTTCATCTCTTTTTTTTTTCTCTCTTTATATCTGTGTGGGTCTCACTTGTAGTTTTGTTTCTACAACATGAGATAATCATTTTCCTATAATATAAGAAAATTATTTCCCATAAATTAAAGGGATTCATGTTGTAGAAAATAATTTTAAATTCTACATATATATATAAAAGTGTGTGAAATCTATGTGAGAAAAAATGGGTGTCACACACTTTTATGTGTATGTAGAAGATAAAATTACCTCTTACAATATAAAAAATATTAATCTCTAATTTTTTTTTTTATATATCAACTCTAATTACCTATTTGAGGTTAGTCGACCCGCTATATACCCCCATAATTTTAACTCTTTAAAGTGGCCGTAGAATTAATCCTACCTTAGGGTAGTTACATATAAAGTTATTTGCCTCTCCCAAGGTATATGACTGAGAAGAAAAAGAATAAATGCACAAATGGTTTTGTGTGGTTGTTTCTATTATAAAATTTTGTGGGTATATATTATGGGATTTATATCTGTAATGTTATAGGACAACACTCCAATTTTCTGCCGATACAATCTTTGTGGGTTCGTTATATTTTTCATTTAAAAAAAAAAAAAGATTGGCGTCGTTTTCTATGTATCTGCAAGAAAAAAAAAATTATGTTGATGTAACATAATTTTTCAATTTCCCATATATTATTGTTTAATGAGAATTGTTCTTGTTTATATTTTACTTAACAATCTTGACTCCGATTATCACACGATATTAAAAGTGAGTTTCACTTTTTTTTGGGTAAAAGAATTTCCAGATTGTACGAAGTAACAAATGGTGAAAATAAATAGTCTTCTATTTCAATTTATTTTCATTCCTCTCTATTATTTTTCGCATTAAAAAAAAAAAAAGCTTATTGAGTTTTATCAAATTTATTCCTTATTTTTTACGATGCGTGTTGACGGCTAACTTGACTTGTCTGCCTCGTCACCTTTACGTCGAAAATATTACAATTTCACCTTTTTGAAAAGAGAAAAGTAATTATCTTGTTAAATGATATAATTTGTGTCATTTTTCTCTCATAAAGAGATGAGACTTACACTTTTAATATTTTTGTCCACTCTCTCTTTCTTCTATGATTTATCTCTTTCTCTTACTTAAAATGACATAACTTCACATCCTTTAAAATGACACACACTTTTTTCAAAATGTTTAAATTCCAAGCATATAATAAGGTAACAACTATCAGCTATGATTCACCGACACTTCAAAAACCGTAACGTGTCGTGTCCGACACTTTCCGACATTCCGACACTCTAATAAGTATTGTGGTTTTAGTTTCAACTATCAGATTCGTTCGATTACGATTGTCATTTTATTGAGTATTACATAAATATTTGGGATATCTTATATTTCTTTGCAAAATTGATGGGTATTATAAATTTAGCTTTATTTTTTAAATTATTGAATATTAAATATAATATACATTACATAAATTAAAAATATTATTTAATACCAAAACGTGTCCTAACGAGTCAAAATCTAATATTTTTTAGAATTAACGTGTCAAAGTATCGTGTCATATGATATTCTATGTTCCGAGTTAGATAGAGTATCAATTACGCTTCTATGTGATAGTACGCACACAATTGCCAACTACGTGGTGCAATGCACAAGGTGTAAAAACTATAAGCTCTTAAAAGTTAGATAGATATCGACAATTATTCATTAAAGATTTTATAAGTTTTAAAAACTCGGCCCGACCATCGACCCGATCGAGATCAGGGATAGCTACCTCATTTCTGATCAAGAGATAGCTCCTTAGTTGTCAAGGAAATCTTCGGAGTATGCTTTATATGCTTGGTTCTTATAGTTGTTTTGGTCCTTAGTAAAAATAATTGAAATGGAAAGTGATAAGAATCAATACTTAGCATTTTACTTCTAAGTATGCTTTCTTTTCAAAGAAATTTCTTAACAAACTTTGATATCTCTATAAAAAAAAAAAAAGAATTTGGGCAGTGGCATATTATAAAAGAAATAAAAATCTATTATTTTTTTTATTCTCTCCCTACAAATTAGCCACATTTGTAAAGTGGCTAATATAAAAAAAAATGTAGCCAAAGTAATGCTACCACACTCATGACAGCAGTAGCAAAGTGAGAAGGAAAATGTGGCTAAAAAAGGCCACGCCAGGATTAGCCACATTTAGCAAAAATGTGGTAGTTTGATTTAGCCACATTTTTTGCTAGCTTTTGCCACATTATTAAATGTGGCTAAACAACGTGTTTTTTGTAGTGGTAGTAGAGTTGTGACAAGCTGGAGCTGTCCGTTGTTTACTGGAGTTAAGGCGCGGTGGAGTTGCCTTGGGCCTTAAGTTTACTTCCTATAGAAAGTTTCATACGCGATGTGGGTATCGCGTCTTGTGTGACGTGATGAGAGCATCGCGTCTGTGCTTGTTCTTTGCGCTTTGCTCTGGTCTTCAATGGGCCTAGGCTTTCTTACGTGTTTTTGGGCCCTGGTTGAGCCTATATTTTATCTGGATCTCACACACACATATATAATTCTTTCATGTATGGACTTTTTTCATTGAAAAGTCGTTCTCCATTTTAGATATCGTTATCATGCAGTTATATAAATACTCCTCCAAACGTGAGAGCTGCGTACACATAAACATATAAAATATATTTTGAGACCGCGGCTGAAATAAATTTATAGATGTTACTGTTGTTGACTTACCTGTCAATTGTAAAACATGCTTAAAATATGGAATTATGTTCCTAGTTGTCAGAAATTAATATTTTCAAATAATAAAATTTTCCACTCACAAAATGGTACAGATTCATTAAAAAAAACTCGTTCTGATGTCCAAATTCTTGCAAATACCCTGAACAAAGGGGTGACGATTCTTCGACGAAATAAAATATCCCGGAAAATAGTTAAATACAGCAATCACATAATTATAACGATTTAAAAAACTCATTTTAAAAAATGTCTTCCCATTTTTCATGATAGCAAGTCAATTTTTATTATATGTCAAACAATAATTTGTACAAAATAATAGATCAATCAAGTTATTTCATTGACATTTTTAATTAAATCAAAAGAGAAAGTATACATCTCTATCAATAGTTATCGGTTCAAATAATAAGAAGTACTTTATTTCATTTAATCATAAGTTTTCTATTCAAGTTTTGAGAATAAAGAAAATAATTGAGAGAGTGGTCTCAATATAAATTCTTACAGTGTCAAACCAGCTGCCTTTGATACAAAAAAGAAAAAAAAAAGTTAATCTCTTTTGGTGAAATTAATTTCTTGTTTTTAACTCTTAATATAAATCTTTGATTATATTCTAATGAAATTTAGTTTTTTAAAACATAATTTGGTAACATATGATGTCCGTTTATTATATGTTTTTTTTTTTTGCTTACGAAGATCCTTTTTTTTTCCTCTAGTTTGGTGATAAAAAATGGGTAAAGGTCTCTCCAGTCACCGGAGATAAAATTATGAGCTCAAAATGACGTCGTTTTAGGACGAAAATCAAGGTATTTTTATAATTATAATATATTGCAGGATTATATTAGTTTTTATCATTATAATATTTTAATCTTATAATTCTAAAACGACGTCATTTTGAGCTCACTGGAGATAATTTTATCTCCGATGACTAAAGAAATACTTTTTTCTAAAAAAAATAGACAGGAAAGGAAAACACAATCTATGTATTTAATTAGAATAGCTATTGTTCTGTACTTTTCTATTTTCTCTACAATATTTTCACCAACCATTGGAGCTGAAAATCTATATATCTATATTTATAAGAATGTAATTAATTAGAATTATCTCGTAGTCAATCCTATTATGAACAAAAAGTATAAATAATAAGACGATCCTATCTCATTTTTAAGCTAAAACATATTGTAAGTCTCAATAAAATTTAGCTTAGCAAAGAAAAGGATTGATAACATGAACCCATCCTGATTTTAATAAAAAATAAAATAAAATACGTTGATGTTACCTGAGCCAACTCCATGTAATAAATATTGCAGGAATTATGAAGATAATAAATAATACTTATCACGCTTAGAATATTGTAACTATCAAATAATATTATTATCAATATCATTACCATATCTTAACCACTGTTGATTTTCATCAATCAACAGTTATTATTTCCACACAAACTTATTAATTAATTATTAATTTGCAATGAATAATAACTATTGATTGACAAAAATTAACGGTTAAGATATGATAATAACATTATTTGATAGTAACAACATCTTATACCACTTATTAACGATTTGGTAAAGTCTAAAGACATAGGTTCAAACCTGAGTACTATTATTGTATTAAAAAAAAAGAGAAAAGTGTATATAATTTTAAAGTATGTAAAATTGTGTTATTTTAAGTGAGAGAAAGAGATAGATAAAGAAAGATAGAGAGTGGACAAAAAAATATAAAAGTGTGGGTCTCATCTCCTTGTGAAAGTAAAATGACATAAGTTATGTTATTTAAAATGACAAACACTTTTGGCTTAAAAAAACTAAAGACATACGCTCTTTATATAAATAAGAGAAGTGGGAGGTCAATAAACTAAAAAAGAATTGGTGTGAGATAATAAAAACTCATATGAGAGGGGTACGAAAGCAAAAGATGCAAGGAAGACATGACATCATGGGTTGTTCCACATTGTTGTCCTCACGTCCCTTTTAGGACTTGAATGCATCGTTGTCTTTCTCTCACCTCTGACGCCCTCTCCCACCCAGCACAACAAACAAACCTTCGAATGATCAAAACACAAATTCTTGCACTGGTATTGCAAATCATTATTATTATTTCAAAAAAATAAAAAATAAAAAATCACCAAATCAAACTCAAACTTTGAACAGAGATTCAACCCTTGTTTCGTGAATTATTATACCTTTGCATGAATTGGTTTCTGCTTTCACGTAACGTTCATTTGATTGGTTCTTCCCCAACGTTATAATATATAATATCAAACATTCATCCATTGTTCTGATTCCTGAATATTCTTGAGTTTTTAAGATCCAGTGGAAAATCCAACCTTCGTGGGATTCTGGAAAAGTTGCGGAATCTGCGAAGTTTGGATATTGTTCACAAGCTGAAAAAGGGTCTTTGACAAGGTTCAGTGTTTATCTCTTTCTGTGGTTGGATTTAGTTCGAAACTCGGAAGGATTTTTAAAGTTCAATGAGAGATGAAAAGGGAATTATGCGTTTGTGTTGGTGAATTTGCAAGCAATGGAATTGACAAGACCTGGTTATGCGATTGTTTATGTCATTCTCCTTTGCGCGTTGGCCCTAGGGGGCTCAGAGGGAAAGAGAGGGAAGGACGAAGATTTTTCTAGCGATGATAAACAGGTATCACGGTTTCACCATTTATGTCTCTTCTTCTTTGGAATTTCTAAGTTGATTTTTTTGTTTGTTCATCATCATGCTTAGGATTCCTCTTTCCATTCTGAATGAAAATTTAATGTGTTTCCCAAAATGATGGTAGTGAATTTGACTGTGTTATATTCTTCTTATGTTTTTGTTATGATGCAGAGCTTCCCCTGCTTTTTAGATATTAAACTGACTCATGCATGCGTACTACATGCATGTTATGTGATGCCTAGGCTGTAGAGTAATCTGTTTGTAACTACAAATACAAGGTCTAAGCTCAAATTATTGTGAATTTTGTTAAATCTGTTTTATTTATTTTACTATGTTACTATCTATGAAACATATATAGTCTTCCCATCTTTATTTTTTGAAGAACGAACTCATAAGTAATCTGATCAGGTTCATGAACTTCGAAATCCAATCACCTTAGTTGAATGACTAATTAAGCATTGGTATCATACACAAGGATGTGTCTGCGTTGTTTCAAGAAAAATTTACATACACGTTTTTGTTCAAAGAACACCTTAATCTCAGCTTCTGAGGTTATATATTTCAGTATATAATGCTAAGAGTATATATATATGGAAGCCATGTTTTAATTCTAAATATCCAACTTTGTTGACAACTACAATTTTGTCCCTGCATATTAGGATATCTAGCTACTTCGTTTAATAACTTTTTTAGAAGAAACGAAGCATTTTAATTCCATTCCTTGATTGTGGGAACTCTGATGCAAGGGTTAGTTGTAAATATTGTGAAATGTCTTGGCACATTAATAATTTTCCGCAAGCATTTCCATAATGTTCTGATGAAAAAAAAAAAAAAAAACTTCTGATACCAAATTTGTGGTTACTATTGTGTAGGTTGTAGCTGATGTCTTAAAAATTGGCACAACTAGAATGCTTATATTATTTTGTTTTAAAACAAAAACTGAATATGAACTATGCTCCGATATTGTCTAAAATAATGGTGTTGTCTTCGTTGTTAATACATTGATAAAATGAAGGAACATGCCTCAACCTTTTGCTTCACTTTATGGATTAAGCGTGAGAGTGATAGTATAAAAATTTCAAGTGAAATTATATGTGTTTGTAAATTATATGGCAATTTGACTCATGGAATTATGGGGCATGCTAGTTAATCTTTTGTAACATACTAAATGGTCCTATTTTCTCATTGGGTTGATACAGGCAGAGAATGTGTGGAAACATTGTAGGAAAGAATTGATAGGGAGGGACAATGATGTTAAAGATTTTGACTTGCATCCACTGGAATGGAGCAGTGACATGAGGTCTATTCTTACAACAGAAAGTAACATGCACAAAGAAACCAAGTCTCTGTCTCCCCATATAAAAGAAAGAATTTTGGACTGCATAAGCACTCCTCCAGCTCCTGCTTCTGTAGAAAAAGAAGGCTCTAGAATTTTGTTGACAAAGCATTCTGAACCAACCTTTGGTTTGAGAAGTGGCCATGAAAGAAGTTTGATTGCTGAGTCACCACATAATGAGATGTCACCAAGCCCTGCTACTGTTCCATCCCCATTGGAATCACCAAGTCATGAACCAACTCCAAAAAGTTCCCCATCATCACCAACTCCTGATCCCCATGCTGTGGATTTACCACTCCCTCCAGATATGTTTGTGCCATTTCCACCACCACCACCACCTCCTCTACCTCATTCTCTTACTGGTGAAATTTTTCGACCTTTAGTATATGCACCTACCCCTTCACCTCCTAACAATGATGACAAAAAGCAAAAAACAATTATCTTAGCTTCCACAATATCAGGAATTATAATCTTGATAGGCTTGTCTCTCTGCTATCGTGAGGTCAGAAGCAACAAACTTGACAAAGATGACAGGCCTTTACTCATACTAAGCTCAAGTGATTATCCTAGAGGTGTGCTTATGTTTGGCTTTCTATGTTAGCCTATTATATATGATAAGTGAACCATTATACTTGGTCCTTCAATCTATGATTCCATGTTTTTTTCTTACTTCAGGTTCACAGAAGGTTACTCGTTTGGGAAGCTCTAATAGGGAAGGATTTGGTATTAACAATGGAAAGAAACCTTCTAATGTTAGAAATTGGTCCATTAAAAAGGCTGAAGATAACAATACCTCAAAGGTTGAGACAACATCATTAGAAGGTAAGGGACAAATACCAGCACCTCCTAGTGGAAGACCAGCTCCTCCACCCCCAGGGCCGCCACCACCACCGCCTCCACAGCCACCAGCTCTTGCTCCTCGTCCCCCACAACCTCCAAGAGGTGCTCATCCTCCACCTGCTCCTCCTCCCAAACCAATGGCAGGTAGAAATCAACATACACCTCTTGGACCACTTCGTGCTAAACAGGGTAGTTCTGGTGAGGGTGATGCTCAAAAACCTAAACTAAAGCCATTTTTCTGGGATAAGGTTTCTGCAAAACCTGATCAATCAATGGTGTGGCATGAGATCAGTGCAGGTTCATTCCAGTAAGAACATTAACTCTTGTCAAAGATCAAATTATCATTGAATAAGCAAAGTGAAATATATCAGTAAGATTGTGCTGACTTTATAACAACTTCTCAGGTTCAATGAGGAAATGATGGAGTCTTTATTTGGCTGCACCAACCAGAACAGAAATGAACGCAAAAAAGATTCACCATCTGTGGATACTTCAGTACATTATATTCAGATTATTGACCCTAAGAAAGCACAGAATTTATCAATTCTTTTACGAGCTCTGAATGTGACAACAGAAGAAGTTGTTGATGCTCTTAAAGAAGGTGACTCTCTCTTTCTCTCTATGCCCACTGATTAGTACTTGTTATTAACATTATCTGCTCTTCATTTGACATATATATGTATACTATATGTCCATGATACCAATAATTACGAATTCTCTGTTCTTCCATTTATATGTTCTTAGGAGATAATATACTTTTACTATGATGACAGATTGGTGAATGAGTTAGGACTCACATAATGAAGTTAGATTCATGAGGGAGTTCCCTCTCTATTATGATTTGCTTCTGTTTTCTCTTGTTATTTAACAGCTTCATTAATTTTAGCATTAAATTTTTTTTTTTTAACATTTGCATTTCACAGCAAGAACTACTTAAAATATGTTGATTGAATCAGGTAACGAGATTCCTATCGAGCTCATCCAGACGTTGTTAAAGATGGCACCGACAGCTGAAGAGGAACTGAAGCTTAGATTATTCACAGGAGAACTTTCTCAACTTGGCGCAGCTGAGAGATTTCTCAAAGTCTTGGTTGACATCCCATTCGCTTTCAAACGCCTTGAATCTCTTATGTTCATGTTTACCCTTCAAGAAGAGACCTCAAGCATTAAGGACTCGTTTGCAACACTAGAGGTGAGACCCGAGACTCTTAAGCTTAATCTGAATTTCCATGTATTTCTAATGTTGTATTCTTTTTATAAATAAATATAATAACTATAGATATAAACGGCAACCTTGTCATAGTTAATGGTATTGTCACATAGGTTTGATTCAAGTAATTAGCCTTTGAGTGAGCTTTAAAGCACCAGTTATCCTATAATAACAATATCAATAACTATTGATTCGAGTGATAGAGAGTTTGTTTTCCGTGATTCTGAGTTCGAACACCGGAAATGGAATGATATTGGGAGATCCATCGCCCCCTAACCGATCCGATGGTTCTCAAATCGGACTAATCGAATAATCGATTAACAGGTTGTGAACCAAAAATAATAATAATAACTACTATAAATACAATGCAAGTATACATAAGTTACATGCATTTATGAGACTTGAAAACAAATTGAGCGCTACATGCTTATGATTATTGCATCTGAATGGCAGGTTGCTTGCAACAAACTCAGAAAAAGCAGGTTATTCTTAAAACTACTAGAAGCAGTTCTGAAAACTGGGAACCGCATGAATGATGGTACCTATCGTGGTGGTGCTCAAGCATTTAGGCTTGACACGCTTCTGAAACTATCAGATGTAAAAGGAACAGATGGCAAGACAACACTATTACACTTTGTTGTTCAGGAGATTATACGTTCTGAGGGGATAAGAGCTGTGCGCACAGAGAGAGCAAGCAGAAGCATTTCAAGTAGTATTGCAACAGAGGATTTTGAAGATGGCAGTGAAGAATCCGCAGAACACTATCGCAGCCTTGGCCTTCAGGTAGTTTCAGGTCTAAGCACTGAACTTGAGGATGTTAAAAAGGCAGCACTCATAGAAGGTGATGCACTGAGTGCTGCAGTGTCAAAACTTGGCTACTCATTGATAAAGGCTCAAGAGTTTCTGAACACAGACATGAAGAACCTTGAAGAAGACAGTGAGTTCCAACGTTGCTTGGAAAGGTTTGTGGAGAAAGCAAAAGAAGATGTGACATGGCTTGTGGAGGAAGAGAAGAGGATAATGGCTCTGGTTAAGAGCACCGCTGATTACTTCCATGGGAACGCAGGAAAAGATGAAGGGTTGCGTTTGTTTTTGACTGTGCGTGATTTCTTGATAATATTGGACAAGGTTTGCAAAGAGGTGAAGGACACAACGATCAAGTCATCAGCGAAGGGTTTATCTTGCAAGAAAGAGGCTCCATCAGTGCCATCTTCACCTGACACTCGTCAACATTCACCACCTTCTGATCTACATAGAAGACTATTTCCAGCAATTGCAGAGCGTAGAGTTGATTACTCTAGCTCTGATGATGAGGACTTTTCTCCATAGCTTTGTTATATAGTTTTTATGTCAGTGATTTTTTAATGGAAAGTGTGCTGTTCTACTACTTCATCACGTGGCATTTGTGGCTGCCAACAAAGTTAAGGAAACAGAAGCCTAGCTTGATAATGAGTTTCCTATGTGCTTTAAATTGATTCTGATTTCTGAAAGGACATGTATATTATCATATCTAATGTCTAGTATGGTTTTCGAGCGGCAAAGAAATTAATTTATTGTTTTTTTAATAAAAAGTTACGAAAATGTAGTTGTTTTGAAATTAATTACGCAAATATAGCACTTAAACACGCTCACATGGGGCGTGATCCAGTGAAGAGAGACACGCCCACATGGGGCGTGACCAAGAGAGAGACACACCTACATAAGGCGTGACCTGAGAGGAGAGAGACACGCCTCATTTGGGGCATGACCCATGAGGGAGACACACCCCTCCTGGGCGTGAACGATGATCTGAGATAGTATTACTGTACCGTTTGAGGACTATAAGACCACTATGTTCCCTTCTGGGATGGAGTCACTATATGGGTTATACCTTCAGCACAGGTAGAGACCAAGCTAGGAGATATAGTCCCAAGTATGAAGCTCACAGATGATAAAGGGGATCGGGTGTGTGTATGTGACTCAAGATAAATGGGCAGAATAACGATACATAAGATGCCTCTCCTTGTGTGTGGAGATAGTACTTTATAGGGGAAGGTGATGTTGATCTTGTATGGGTTGGTGAGGAGAGGGTCAACCCTCCTTGGGATTTGCTAAGGGTGGCAGGCGCTGCTAAGGTAGAAGTGATGCATTCTCTGTGCCTGACAATGTCAGCATGTGACAAAGGGCACAATTACCTCTTATAGTACCTGGGGCGGTCTCCTTGGGAGTTATAATCCCAAGATGAGACATTTTGGTGTCTCACCTAGGGAGTATCATCGCTTTGGGGGTAGGAAAGATGAGGGTTGGTAGGGCTGACGTGGATGAGAGTTTGGGCTTAGACCTTTGGGCCACTATGTTGTTGGGCCATCCGGAACAATTACTTTTTTCGAAGATTTGCTCCACTTCATGGCACCATGAAACCATCCGGAAGGAGGTCGTGAACCATTTCGCGAAATAGGGCATCATTTGAACGCTGGTTGTCAACGTAGCACTTGAACGCTCATTGCCATGGTTCTTGTTGTGGTGATTTGCAGTGATTTTGAGGAAGCAAAATTAGATGCAAAGCAGAACTATGAACCAGTGCCTGCATTGCAATTGCAATTAGCTCACAACCTACTTTTTAGACTTTAACTCGTTCTATTTTAATTGATATAACAATCTAAATTTGTCATGGACCAGCTGATAAGCGTTTTGCCCCATTTACATATTAGTTTTTTGGTTCTTGATGACATAAATGAATTTTCTATGGTAAAAAGTGTTTCTTTTTGTGAATATGATATTGTTGGCCAAGAAAATAAGATGGATGTGTGTAGTTATTTTCAAAAACCATCCCCCATTTTTTTTTCTTTTCCTTTTTTTTTGAATTCTAACACAATGTCATGCATTTCCTACACTGAAGAAAGAAAAATTAATGTTCATCCGATTGGGAACTACAAAGAGATGCACCAGGAAACGAATCATCACCATTGTCATTATTTTGGCGTGGACCAGGGAGGTCACGCCTTTTTGGGCGTGTGTCTCCCTTGGTCACGCTCCATGTGGGTGTGTCTCTCTCTTGGGTCACTTCCCATATGGGCGTGTTTCTCTACATTGGGTCACGCCTCATGTGGACGTGTTTGAGTGCTATATTGCGTAATTAATTTCAAAACAACTATATTTTCGTAATTTTTTATTAAAAAAACAATAAATTAATTTTTTTTTTCCGGTTTGGAGCTTCTTAACCTTCAAACCTGGAAACCAACAAAGATTACAAGAACTTGTCAGGAATGGTGTTGCGCAATCGGCAAGTGTACCGATCGTTCCAAGTAATAAAAGGGTAAGTAGAGTATCGTCTCCACGAGGATTGAGGCACCGAATTTATTATAACTATTCCTCTCTTGTTGGATTAATAAAAATGGTTTAAGGACAATTGTGATTTGTGAAATAATGAGAACAATTCTGAAAAATATAAATAATTCAAGGTTTTTTAAAAACTCAAGAACAACGGAATAAAGGTTGAGAAAATAATAGAGAAAATATTGCGGTAAAGAGACGACAAACACCTTTATGATCCCCACCTTGCAACTTGGGTTACATTTACGTTTACTTATTCAATTAATCAAACAATTCATCATCTTTTATATGATTAGTTAAACCCTAATTCCTTAGTGACTTTAACCTTATTAACTCTATTAGAATCTTAATCCCTTAGAAATCTCTTTTCAAGTTAAACCTTAGAATCAATGAATCTTTAACGTTTGCTATTCATGTAGCCTATCCCTAGAGCATACATGAATAGTTATCTTACCTTTTGTCAGGTATTAGAATCCCAATACCTCTATTGAAAACCCTAACCCTCGCAATTCTACTAGATTGATCGGTTCTAGAAGAACTATAAGATGAAGAATAAAGCAAGATAAATTCAATATAAATAAATAAACATAAAATCAACCGAAGTGATATATTCATGTCTGACAAAATCAATATAAAAAGAAAATAAATTCAGAACCTAGAGAAGAGAAAGAAGATGAAGATCTTCCGACTTGATCGTTCGAATATCTGAAACTCCAAGAAGCTCCCAAGAATTCTCACTCTCTTTGTTGTCTTTCTTTTCCTTATTGTCAAAAAGTTCCTCTCCCTCTGTTTCTGATCCTTTTATTAGGTTTTGAGAAAACCTACTTTCAATTGCCCTCCAATTGGACCCTTTTTTGTGTAATTCGCATTAGATTAAAAATAATAAGTATCGCCCACGCAATTTACACCAGCTGCCACGCAAATCGCGCGGAGAAACATAGATAAAACTTTGAAATGGCGCGATTTGTGCCATGCTCCGCCCAATTTGCACGGAGAAACAGGGAGTAAACTGCCAAATGGCGCGATTTGTGCCACTCACCGCGCAAATTGCGCCAAGAAACAGAAAGTGTTGGTCCAAATGACGCGGTTTACGCCATGCTCCGCGCATTTTGCGTGGGATTCAGCAACTTCAGCTTCTCTCCTTCACTTCATTTTTGGTGTTTCTTGCTATTAAAATGCATAAATTGAGTGAGAGAATGATTGAGAAAGAATAATCAATATTTCTTGCATTTATGACTTATTTTCACACATTTATGATTAATTCCTTGCTTCTTTTAACTTAGAAAGCATCATATGCTGGACGCATATCAAACAATTCCCAGATTTAGATGTTGCTATCCTCAGCAATAAACAGGATTAAACATGGGAAGCAAGGTTCAATTAATCAAGCATAACATTACACAGACAATCATAAAGATTATTATACTAAGCATGAATGATTTCGAAGTCAAAACTTAAAATGATGCTTTTCAACTTCATTCAAATATCAGAGTCTAACTTGATTACCCCTCACAAAGACATAATATTCACTCATCACTCAGTGTTTCAGGGTATTCATCATCACTCATTCCATCACAGTCGTTGCACTACCATAAGCTTGATCTTATTCTCAAGTTCCTGAAGATGAGGAACATCAAAACATGCATGATTGATCAAAAGAGCTTCTCAAGGTTATAACTTGGCTTGGCTTAAGGTTAGGATCATTTGAAAAGTAGCTGAATAATCATTGAGATTGAAGCACCTATTTCATTAAGATCCAATCATATCTCAATTCAGGTTTCAGCTCCACTATTTACTTGAATTCATGATTCATCCTTTTTCTCACCTTTTTCTTCATCATTTCTTTTCAATTTTCAATTTATTTTTCTTTCCTCTTTGAATTCATTTGAGGACTATTCTTTTCTTTCCTTTTTCAACTGTTTAACTTCTAGTGGAGCTCACCTCATTTACCTTTTAACTTTTGATTATTGACATTTCAATCTCAATCAAGGTAAATTTTGATGGAAGTGGTTTAAACAGATTAATCAAGTTATTGAACAAAAACAGTCTCAGGCTCAACAAGGCTAGCAATGGATGATTTTTCAGGTGGCTATTTGGCCATAAGCTGATAGAATAAAATGCCTTTATCACTTCAATCAACACATGCATTGGAGAGAATTAGATCAAGTTCTAGAGTGCTACTGCAGTGAGGACTCTCTAAAATTTTTTTTAACTGTATAGGCACAAACCTCACCAGCTGTGGTATCAAATTACACTCTTCCTAATTTTATTCCAATCATCATTATCCATTATTAACATAAGAATCAAACAAAAGAGCAATTAAAATCTCTATTCATGCTCTATGCAATGCCATGACAATAATACATATCATGCAAGTTTCCTTATTTTCAACCAAGGATTTGACTGATGTAGCACATCTAAATCTGAAATATGCTTTCAAAGACCTGTGTTTATTTATCCTAAAAGAATATAAAACTAAAAACAAAAATTTTGACTGAAAATAGTAAAAATAAACTGGAAAGGTTAAAATAACTCCCCTGTTCAGTGAAATGAATTCTCTGATTTTCTGTGTTAGATGTTTCTTTCGTTCCTCTGTATATAATTCCTCAAATACTGCATATGCGGTCCCAATTTCCAGATTTAGAAGATTGTTGTCCCCAACAATAACTAAACTAGTTGATGAATGTAACTGCTGCACAAGTAAAACACACACATGTGAACAATCAATCAGAAAATAACATGACCACTGTACTGGGGAAGTACAAAACCAAAGACCAAATGTGTCTGAATGACCCTAACATCATCCTAGATGGTCAAATAAAAAAATTAAAATAAAACAGCAAAAACATCACCCTCACGCGGATTGCGCCAGGATCTGCGCGATTTGCACGGTGAAACAGAAGCTTCTAAGCTAATATAGCGCAGATGGTGCCAGGGTCCACGCACTTCGCGTGAGGAGACAGGGAGTTTCATTGGAAACTCTTGCTTTTCGCTCCATGTACTGCGCGATTTGCGCG